GGGGCCCTGCCTGTCTGGGGGGCGCCCCAGGTTCGTCGGCAGCGGCGTCCTCTGCTGCGTCTTCGACCTCGTCGTCGGTGGCAGAGGTGGGCGTGGGTGCAGGTGGCAAGAGACCCGGCTCGGTGTCGAGCACGGACCAGGAGCGCGAACTGAAGGAGAAGCAGCGCAACGCGGAGGCCCTGGCCGAACTAAGTGAGAGCCTGCGCAACCGCGCGGAGGAGTGGGCCAACAAGCCCAAGATGGTCCGCGACACGTTGCTCACGCTGGCGGGCTGCACGCCCTACGAGGTGCGCTTCAAGAAGGACCATTCACTCCTGGGCCGTGTCTTCGCCTTCGACGCGGTGTCCAAGCCTGGGATGGACTACGAACTGAAGTTGTTCATTGAATACCCCACCGGCTCTGGCAACGTGTATTCCAGCGCGTCCGGTGTGGCCAAACAGATGTACCAGGACTGCATGAAGGACTTCGGCCGGGGCCTCTCTTCTGGCTTCAAGTACCTGGAGTACGAGAAGAAGCATGGCTCCGGGGACTGGCGCCTGCTTGGGGACCTGCTGCCCGAGGCTGTGCGCTTCTTCAAGGAGGGCGTGCCCGGTGCAGACATGCTGCCCCAGCCCTACCTGGATGCCAGCTGCCCCATGCTGCCTACGGCACTGGTGAGTCTCAGCCGCGCCCCTAGCGCACCTCCGGGGACAGGGGCTCTGCCGCCCACCGCGCCGTCTGGCCGGGGAACAGCCTCCAGCCTGCGCAAGAGGAAGGCGTCCCCCGAACCCCCGGACTCGGCCGATGGCGCCCTGAAGCTGGGCGAGGAGCAGCAGAGGCAGCAGTGGATGGCAAACCAGAGCGAGGCACTGAAGCTCACCATGTCCGCGGGGGGCTTTGCAACTCCGGGGCACGCGACTGGGGGTCCACCCCCACCACCCCCACCCCTGGGACCCCATTCCAACCGGACCACCCCTCCAGAGACCGTCCCCCAGAACGGTCCGTCCCCCATGGCCGCCCTCATGTCGGTGGCAGACACTCTGGGCACGGCGCACTCTCCCAAGGACGGCAGTTCCGTGCACTCTACCACTGCGTCCGCACGGCGCAACAGCAGCAGCCCAGTGTCGCCCGCCTCCGTACCGGGGCAGCGCCGCTTGGCATCACGTAACGGGGACCTGAATTTACAGGTGGCACCCCCGCCGCCTACCGCCCACCCGGGCATGGACCAAGTGCACCCCCAAAACATTCCGGATTCCCCCATGGCCAACAGCGGACCCCTCTGCTGTACCATTTGCCACGAACGTTTGGAGGACACGCATTTTGTTCAGTGCCCATCCGTCCCCAGCCATAAATTCTGCTTTCCTTGCTCTAGAGAGAGTATCAAGGCCCAGGGGGCCACTGGTGAGGTGTATTGCCCCAGCGGAGAGAAATGTCCCCTAGTTGGGTCGAATGTACCTTGGGCCTTCATGCAGGGCGAAATTGCGACTATCTTAGCTGGGGATGTTAAAGTGAAAAAGGAGAGAGACCCTTGAACCACAGGGCCGCCACCTCCTTTGCCCTAGACCAGCTCCTCTCCAATCCAGAGGGCCCCTCCCCGCTCCCCTTTCCCTTCCTTCACCCCCAAAATGTAGAATTGTGAATATAACTGCAAAAAGTTAGTCTTATGTATAGACATTATTTTCGTCGTATGTTTCTATATTTTGAAACAAAGGTATGTAACTTCTTCATTTGAAGGATACGCTGGTTTGTGTTAAGCAGTATAATATTGGTTGGGTCATTCGCATCATATTTGTTAGCGTTTATTTGGTGGCAGAATGTTTGCCTAGGTACAAAATTAATAGCCCTTAGCAACGACTGCTGCCGGTGTGTATTTTTGTAAATGTTATGCACTCTGAAAGGAAAACACACAAAAGAAAAAGATTTTTTTTTTTTTTTTTTTTTTTTTTTTTTTTTTTTTTTTTTTGCCAAGGCCAGTGTTGCTGCCTAAAAAAAAAAAAAACATGATGATGATGCTATAAAATGGTGAAAGCTTCTTTCTAAACAGCCCCAAGTGTTGAAGTCTTCACTTTATTTTCTGTTCTGTTTTGTTTTCTTGTTTTGTTTGCAAAATGGTAAAGGGGGGTGTTGGGGGGAACGGGGTGTTTTTTGTTGCAAGTTTGTGAGGGGAAATGTTTTGGTTTGTTTCTACTGACCTGAATGTGTTGGATCTTCACGTGTTGTTTTGTTTTTGCTTTATTGATGCACGGATGCTTTTGAACCGTAGAGCGAAATGCTAGACATGGAGAATCTGCTCTGTTTGTCCTTTATACATTTCTGTAGTTAACAGAACACTGTAATGTGCCTTGGAGCTTAGTAACTTGTAATAAATTCAATTGATATTAATTCTGCCGGGAGTCAGCAAGTTTGTCTTTCTAGGGCAGAGGGCACGGGCCTCCAGTGTAGGAGACACCCTCCCTACCTCCAGCCTAGGACGGGAGCACTTGTTCCTTTGTAAAGCCCTCAGAGGGCTTCAGCAAGTGCTGAAGGCCGGGCGCTGCCTGGCTGCCCCTCCCCCTCTGCACCAGGCTATTTACATTCACCTCTCGGGAGGCGACAGTTGCTGACTAAGCGATTTCTGTTTACTCTAAAGCATCTCTTATTTTCCCCCGGATGTAGGACCCAGTTGCAAATGGTATTGTCAGGAATGCTTTCTGGTGTTTAGCCCTGTAGCCGTGAGTGTATGCTGATGTTAGTGCAGCTGTGACTTGACGTGTGTGTGTGTGTGTGTGTGTGTGTGTGTGTGTGTGTGTGTGTACGCGCGCGCGCGCGCGGTGGCTGGGTGCGGGGGGGGGCAACTAGAGAAAGCCCAGGATGCTTTGCTTCATAGATAGGGCAGAATTAACTGTCACTGCACATTTAAAACAAGAATGACACAGAGCTGGGAGCTGTCATTGGGGACAGGGAGGGTTGAGGGCAACTGCAAATAGTTTGTACTCAGCCAGGAAGGTCCCAGTAGCTTCCAGCTGATTCTTTGGAAATGCATTTGTCACTTAACTGACTACATGCCCCCCTCCCTTTAACAAGTATTACTAAAAGCAGGACATATAGCTGATCAAAACAGGTTTGGGGTGCAGAAGGGTGGGGGAACCCAAACACTACTTTTGAATCAGAAGTTACAAAGAGCACCAAATAAAATCCATTCCTGCTGGTCAAGAATGCAGTTACTCATCTAACCGACTTTTTTTTGGTGGCATTTGTAAAGTGCCCAAGGGTGAGGAAGGGGACAAGAGAATTGTATCGGCTTTTAGTGCTGAGATCTGAGACCAGACCTGAACCCTCTCAGAACTAGGGGAAGGGAAGGCAAACAGACCTGGTTCGAACCTTGTACTTTCCTGGAGGCAAATACAAGAGTAGAAAACAGAAGTGGGGAAGCAAAACAAAACTCAGCGATCCTATCTGAAATTCATTCCTGGCCACACCCCATGTTTGGGCGGGGCCAGCTAGGCTTGGGCTGCTGAGCCAGGGCTGGAGGAATAGGTAAAGAAACTCGGTTCCATCCAAGGAGCTGGCAAGAGAGAAGACTGGGCGCAGGCACGTTTGCAAACAGTCACCACTTAACCCAGAACACCGGTGTGGGGCTTGGGTTGGTGTTGGGACTTGCTGATTATAACACCCTTTTAGTTTCTGTTCTGCTTTTGTCACCACCATTATTGAAGTGGTGCAAAACCAAGGTGGGTGGGTGTGTTTTGGGGTGTGGATACGTGGCAGTATGGATGGATCTACTGTTATCTCTTAATCCTAATATATGGGAGGTGACTGTCTCACCTCTTTAAGTATATCACCACATATAAATAGACATTCGTGTCAGCTTCCTGCAAATGTGTCCTTGCATTTTCATCTGCTGCCAAGTGTTGTATTGCTGCTTATGAGTCATGAAACCTATTTTCATCCTTAGGGGTAATTAACTCGGGGTGATAATGCATAGCAGACTGTAGGAAGAGTTAATTCTAAAACCCATCCTCACCTGGCTACCAGTCACACGTTTCTCTTAAAGGTCTGGGTTGGCTTTTCTCATTAATAAAAATGGAGCATGTTTCGCCTGGAAGATCCTTTAAGGCTCCCAACCCCCACTTCTCAATGCACATACTCCTGAAATGGGTAAGGCTCAACAGCCAGAGAACATGCAGTGTGTCTTGGGTGTAATTTAACCACCGCTGAAGGAAGAGGCTCACATGAGCTTAGATGTGTGGATTACCTGTCTGGGTGTGGATCCTCTGAGTAGTGTCTGGCTTCAATGCACATCCTGCCCTGTTATCTGCCTCTCAGTGCACGTGGGCTCCTGCCTGCCTGCAACTGTCTCTTCATTGCTCCAGTATTATAGTCAGGAACTTGGAGGCTTACAAGACCCTTGATTACTAGTGCACATAGGTTGGCAAAGGGGCCTGTCATTAAGAGCTGAGAATGGTATAGTTTTCTCCCCCCTTTGGTTGCCAGGTGCTATTATTAGCAGGAGAAGCAGTAGCTGTAATAATAGGCATCCAGCAAAGCAGGCCAGTTTGCTTTCACTGAGGAAGGCAGCCTGACTTGATAAGACCTGGGGGAGTGGAGGAGGGGACCGGAGGCAGAGAGTAGTTGGGGTGGAACACTTAGGGTGGAAGTGAATTATAAAGGTGCTGTTAATTAAAGTTTACCCTGGCCAGGGGCCATTTGTTAAGTGGTGGCTCTTCCTCTTTTGTTGGGGGGGCACGTGACCTTTGTCTTTTCTGGACTCGTTCAGCTGCCGCTATGGTTAACTTAACCAGTCTTGATTTGATCTTCAGCGGGATCCCCCCTTCCCTGAAGCATTCCCGTGCTGGATACCTGAGAAGCCTTCTCTGTCTTTGGAATGTGAGGATTCTGTGGTTTTCAGAGATGCAGATCCAGGTCTCTGGTTGAGCCTGTGTTCCATTCTTCTCCAAGTCACCTGGGGTCTCCCTGCCCTCATTTTCCATCCTTCTCACCCCCTCCCCCCTCAGAGTCAAAGTGACCGATGTGCTAAAATCTATACTGCACCTATTTATAGAGGCTTCGCCTTGTGTTCCTAACCCAGGCTGGATGTTTCTTTAAGCAGGCGTTGGGGGAGGGCAGTGAAGACTAAATGCAACAGCTCTGAGAACCCGATGATAGAGGTCATTTCTTGACCTTGATTCTCCAAAGGCGGCACCAGGGTTGCCCAGCAGAGTGGACACCCCACCTTGTGTCATAAGTGTTCACATCTGGGGTGCATTTTCACATATATCCATCCTGGATTGGCTGATGTGACGAGTACTGAAATCTACTTTTGTTTTCTTCTCTTTTTCTTTGGGAGAGGGCATTTTTTGTTTTTGTTTTTGAAATTTTATTTTTATTTTGGGTTATGTAAAGAAAGTTGGAACTAGGAATGCACATCCCCTTTCAGGTACTGGGGATTGAACCCTGAGCCTTTGCACACTGAGCTATAGCCCTACTCTTTTTTTTTTTTTTGAACCAGGGTTTCATTATGTTGCTAAGATTGCACTTGATCTTATAATCTTTTTGTTTTAGGAGTCCAGGTATGCACCACTATGCCAGGCTTTGGGAATGACCCTTAATGTGATCTAGCAAAATGTTTTCTAAACCTTTGTGAGGTCAGAGGTACCTTAGAAATTTCTGGTACTGGGTAAATTAAGAGATACAGGAAGGCTGAAGAAAGACAATCATGAGTTTGAGGCCTGGGCTACATTAGCAAAACCTGTCTCAAACAGAAAGAAAGAAAGAAAAAAGCTGGGCGTGGCAGTGCACGCCTGTAATCCCAGCATTGAGGAGGCTGAAGAAGGTGAATCACTGAAAGTTCAAGGCCAGCCTGAGCTACATTGTGAGTTCAAGGCCCACCTGAACTATATAGTGAGACCCTGTTTCAAAAAAAAAAAAAAACACTCCCCCAAAAAAGCACCACACAATACAACCAGCCAGCCTAGTGCCACCTTCCTGTAATTGCAGCACCTGGGAAGCTTAGATGGGTGAGTCCTTGTTGGAAGCTTGAGTGCAGCCCCTAAACTACAGGATGAAACCTTGTCTCAAAAAAAATAAAATAAGCCAGGCGTGATGGCGCATGCCTGTAATCCCAGCACTCGGGAGGCTGAGGCAGGAGGATAGCTGTGAGTTCGAGACAAGCCTAGGCTACATAGTGAGTTCCAGATCAGTCTCAACTACGTAGTGAGTCCCTGTCTCAAAAAAATAAATAAAAATAAATTTTTAAAAAAAGCAGTGTGGTGATGCAAGTCTGTAATCCTAGCACTTGGGAAGCTGAGGCAGGAGGATTGCTGAGAGTTTGAGCCCAGCCTATACTACTTAGTGAGTTCAAGACGAGCCCAAAGTACATAGGGAGACTTGGGTCCTTGCGCTTGCAAAGCAGGCCACCGAACGGGGATTTAGCTCAGTGGTTCCACTGCCTGCCTTGCAAGCACAAGGTCCTGAGTTCGATCCCTGGTACCAAAAATAAATAAATAAACAAACAAATAAATGGGGATCTTCTGCAATAAAATAACAGGTATATATGGATTGTACACATATTCTTTGCTTTTAAATATACATTTTATGTGTTTATTTTTGAATCAGTAATTATTGGTTTGAAATTCAAAATATGCAAAAGGAAATACAATACAACTATAACATCTCTATTGTACAATTGCCACCCAGTTCTCTTCTGGGGTGCAACCAGTCTTAATGGATTTATAAAAAGGTTCATACACATCTAAAGTATTACAAGTTCAAGCCCAGCCTGGGCAATTTAGCAATTCAGCGAGACCATGTCTCAAAATTAAAAGGAAAAAAAAATAAGTCTGGATCTAAAACTCAACACGAAGGCCTTGGGTTCAATACCCAGTGCAAAATGACAACAGCAGCAGGCTTACCTAGAGCTTGTTACCTAGAGTAACAATAAGATAGGCGAAAGGAGCGTGAGT